ACACATCATGTTTCTTATTTCATGATCAGTCCCTTCAATTAGTGAGAAAAGTCGGAAGAATCAAAATAAATGAGCTTTCATTTGACTCATTCGGAAACAAACCTCGGTGTCCGCAGTGGGATTCGAACCCACGACAACAAGGGCGAGGCTTGGGTGCCGCCAACGCTCCAACCATTTGATCTGCCAGGCCCTACTGGGAGCCGTGAATTTAATCACATCTGGAGCAAGTTACCCGCCGAACCTTCCGCACCGTACGGACTCCACCGAGGCTGATGTAGTAAGCCAACTGCCCAAACAGAATTTTCTAGGCAAACAGTCTAGAATCCATCAGACGACTATCAGGCTCGATAAGTAAGTGGTGTTTTCGCAGGTTTGAATGATGCATTTGGCCTAACTGTGAAAGATTTAGTGAACCTCGGTGATATTTTATCCTGGGACTGCAAAAGGCAAGGCCTGAGTACAGATAACGCTCTAGCAACCTGAACTACGAGTCCCCCACGGTCGGCAGCAAACTCGGCGTCTGCAGTGGCATTCGAAGCCATGGCAACAAGGGCGAGGCTTAAGTGCCGCCAACGCTCTAGCCATTTCATCTGCCAGGCCCTACTGGGAGCCGTGAATTTAATCAAATCTGGAGCAAGTTACCCGCTCAACCTTCTTCACCGTACGGAATCCACCGATGCGGATATAGTAAGTCAACAGCCCAAACAAAATTTTCTGGGCAAACAGTCTAGTAAGTGGTGTTTTCGCAGGTTTGAATGATGCATTTGGCCTAACTGTGAAAAATTTGGTGAACCTCGATGATATTTGATCCTAGGACTGCAAAAGGCAAGGTCTGAGTACAGATAACGCTCTAGCAACCTGAACTACGAGTCCCCCACGGGGGACCATGAGTTTAAGTATACTTAGAGTGCCTCGTGCATACCCCGATTATTATATTGCCTAATCCCACGGAGCCAAAGATGCAAACGTTTTGGATTGGTACCAATGAGAGTGGCCTACTGGGGACCGACTAAGTTAAAATGGTCAAATTTTCAATATCTTCTCGTTTTCTTATAAACAGACTATTTGTTTCAGTTGAAATTTAAGCCGTTGCATCTACACTTCGCGGTCTGTCAGTCAACATGCTTGCCTGAACGAAACCACGTGTGTTGTTGCAGAATAATGGCTAGCAATGACTGACATACGCCTTTGCACTGTGAATCACAATGTAGTTTATTGATTGTCCTGAAATTCTGAAATGGCAATTCCCTCCATTTCACAGAGCATGCCATTTCAAGTCATCACATGGCCATATCGTCCAATGAACTCAATGCACGCAACGTCTGCGTGTGATCATGAAAGGTTTTGCCTCAAATTCTAACGGTGGTTATTGACTCTTTGAAAAAACGGTCATAAACAGCACTCCGAATGCTTCAGGCGCAGGTCACTTTGTTGTATTTCTTCAAATCAAAACAGTTTTTGGATGACTCCTACTCTGATTGTTTGTGTTGAGTATTGAGTGTCAGTTAATATGCTGCTTTGATGGAAATACGCCTTTTTGTAAAATATACTACAGTAGATGCGCTAACTCATAAAATGCAAAGGGAAGTTCCGAAATATATTTCCGACACGAAAGGACTCCTTAAGTAGAGTTGTAATATTAATAACCGTGCAGCATAATCCCAAGATACTTCAATTACTTCGGGATCCCAGCTTTCGAACGAACTTCTTTCCGGCTGCTTGTACAAATTGCGCTCTACAAAAACGATTACTTAATAAGTATGAATTTTCTCACTGATGTTCCGTGTCATCATAATCTCAAATATATTCTCGAGAAAAAAATGCATTAAAACCTTAGTTCTTTTGCTCATTTGGTAGAAAATTACGTTTTCTTTAGATTTTATGCTCGAAAGAAAGATGACTCGATTTTAAAAAGCTTTTTCAACTTCCGATAAATTTTGAACCCGAGCTGCTGTTACACCTGCATTCAGGGTTTTCAAACTACAAGCTGTACATTTCGATATGCTATTAAGAGGAGATCATGCGTGGTTCATGAAATTCAGCAGTAGATCTGAGATATACTGCAAACTTTACAAGAAACATTAGTAAATTCCGAGAAAGGATGTTTAATGAGCGGGCATTTCACGGTCTTCAAAAATCTCACTATTGGAACCTTTTTAAAACCGAATTACACACTTCGTTCAAGTATAGGATTTGAAAAAGATGTACTTGTCTACTAAATAAGTAAGAGGACGAATGCTTCTATGCATGTTTTCAATGGAATATACTTGAGTATATGGGACACCGAAAATCAATCAGAAAAATGCATACTAATTAAGCATTCGTTTTTGAAAAATGAAATTTTTTGCAGGCATCCGGAAAGAAGTTAATTCGAAAGCTGGGATTCTGAAGCAGCTGAAATATCTTGGGATTATGCTACATGATAATTAATATTACAATCCTACCTAAGTAATCTTTTCGAGTCGGAAACGTTATGCAGAATTTCAGTTAGCACCTTATCGACTGTATTTTTAAATTTGACATACGTTTTACCATTTTAACATTACTGCTATGGAATTCGAAAAATCATTGAGAGCACTGGAGGTAAAAAAAACAATATTTACCTTGTAGCATGAAACTTGAGTTTATCAGTCGTATAAGACCGAGCAGGCTACTGCAAAAATACAAATAACACCCTGTGGTAGGTTCAGGTCTTGGTTACATGCAAATTAAAATCTGCAAAATCTACCACGTGAAACTAATGCAGCCTTGCCACCAGTACTGAGGCCAAGTGCAGCATTTTGAGGGGCCATGCTGGGAGCAGGAAGATATCACTGTCGAATGCAAATACCTCCGACATGCTTCCGGAGTTAATGCCTACCACTTTGATTTCGATGCCTGCTGTGCACAACAGCTCGACCCTCGTGCCCGACGATGTCTATCGTGTGCGCCACAGCAATGTGAGAGCAGGGACGGTGACTTATGCGTGATTTAGGTTGTAGTGGTTAGTGAGAAGTCCACGCCTCTAACCACTGGGCCACGAGCCCGTTGCCCTGTCGGTTACGATAGGGAACATACAGTGGTGGAGGGGCGCTCACCGATCGTTCTTACGGAACGCACTCCTTCCGTTGTGCCTTACGGGCTGTCTCCCGAGCCCAAACAGCGGCCGCACAGCGACGCATGATATAGGCAGGATGATATTACCAACAAAGACAAGGGAGACTTGAATGGCGATTTTTGGCTTATTAGTCGTCGTTAGCTAGTCATGCGCCGCTGTGCGGCTGTTGGTTGGGCTCGAGAGAGGGCCCGTAAGGCACAACGGAAGGAGTGCGTTCCGTAAGCACGGTCGGTGAGCGCCCCTCTTCCATTATAGTAGATGTAGACTTGTACGGCACTTACCCCACTATCTCCTCTTCCCCCACCTGAGCACAATGACATGACTACACACATAACCGGAAGAAACTCTCGTTTTGGCGAGGACGTCCACAAACCAACAAGTTGTCGGCTCGCGCCATTCAGATCTGGCCTATAAACATGGATTTCGGAGGCAAGCATTCGGCGTCAATTTATTTTCCCGATGTTCGCATTTCTCTTCAAATACGGGCTGTTATTATATACAGGCAGATTAATTACGACATACAAAGATTGACAGTAGTTAATTTTGTACATGGCAGGATAGTTGGAGTCCCGGATTCTCGAAGTTGCTTACCCTTCCCCTGTACAAAGGCAGTAGTCGACTAACCAGACTTTTGATTTCGCTTGCTGTCAGTGCATACCTCGAGGACAATGCGAATATGTTGCAAACACACCTGCAAGTTTATAAGCAATTGCCGAACGTTCGTCCTAGGACCGAAAAATACTGGAGATAATGGACATTAGGAAAGAAATGGGTTTCGCTGAAACTTCTTTTACGAGCGGAGCTAGTGTGCTTCATTGTGAACCAGTCTGCCTTCGTGCTTGTGTGTGTGTGTGTTTAGTCTACGAAAGTTTGGTACATGTACTGGGAGTCAGGCCGTGTGGGGGCCGCGTAAACGGTATGCTAAGGCCTGTCAACCATCAACAAATGTTTCGCAGGTTTGGATGATAGACTGGTGCGGGGGAGAGGGAAGAGAAAATGGACTGGACACTAGGGAATCCGTCCTCACTGCACTCCGACGTATTCCTTCCTGCAATAAACCTAACGCGCTTGCATCCGACATGACATGCTAAGGACGTGGCTTCGAAGCCCACCATATGACAGGATAACTCGGACCTCCTGGTTAGTACCGTGTGCGTGTGTGTGGGGAGTGACTGAACTTAAGACTGAAAGTCAGACTCCAATGGCCCCTTCTAACATGGCGTCTATGACACCCCGACAAACCTGCGGTCCGAGTCACGCCTCTCTGTGAAAAACGAGTCGCTTGTGTGTGTGTGTCCTCCAAACGGACCACGTGTTAGATGCGCTGGACCAACACGGAGGCCACATCGGATTTTGGCAGGCGCTATCTGTGCGCGATAGCAAATGTCAACATCTAGGGGGTGCGCTGGCAGTCCCTGTTGTCGACAGTCGCCGCACAACTGGGATCACTGCCATATCCTTCATTGTTGTGGCGGTAAAGATGTTGGTCATTTGTGTGTGGGCCAGGGAGTTTGGTGGAACGCCAAGGTGAGGATCCGTCCGAATCATCCACCCGCGGCCCCCCTCGTTTCCGGTCTTCTTGACTCTGTCTTGACACCGGACTCAGGCGGGGGAGGTGAAGAGAGTGTAGGTAGATGCAGCGCAAGTCTACTGGCACTATAAACTCCTGCGCAAGTCACCGTCCCTGCTCCCACCGCTGCTGCAGCTGTGGGGCACACGGTGGACATCGTCGAAATCGACTGTCGAACTGTCGTGTGTGTGTGAGGAGGTGGGTGCCGGCTACACCTTCTTCTGGAGTGGTCGACCCAGGGCAGAGCGACGAGACGCGGGTGTCGCCTTCGCCATCCGGACCGACATCGTGGGACGACTGCCCTGTTTGCCGCAGGGAATCAACGACCGCCTAATGAGCCTCCGTCTGCCCCTCCGGCGAGGAGGCAAGTTCGCCACCATCATCAGCGCCTACGCTCCGCCGATGACCAGCCCCGACGCCGTCAAAGACAAATTCTACGAGGACCTGCACGCCCGCTTGGCGACTGTGTCGAAGGCGGACAAGTTGATTGTCCTTGGTGACTTCAACGCCCGCGTCGACACAGACCATACTGCCTGGAGGGGAGTGCTGGGTCCCCACGGTCTCCGCGGCTCCAACGACAACGGCCTGCTTCTCCTCCGCACCTGCGCAGAACACCGCCTCACCCTGACGAATACCTTCTTCTGTCTGCCGGAGCGAGAGAAGGCCACCTGGAGGCATCCTCGGTCGCGTCAGTGGCACCTGCTGGACTATGTCCTCGTCCGGAGGCGAGATCAGCGGGACGTGCTGGTGACGAAAGCGATCGCGGGTGCTGACGGGTGGACCGACCATCGCCTCGTCATCTCGAAGATGCGTGTTCGCCTACAGCCTCGCAGGAGACCACAAGGTAAGCGACCCCCAGGTAAGCTGAATGTTGCTTTGTTGTCTTTGCCTGCTCACCGTCTCCATTTCAGCAATGAGCTAGCTCAACGGCTAGACAACCTTCCTATCGCTGCCGCCGCCAACGACGCCGCCGCCGCCGCCGAGAACGCCTCCGTGGAGAACCGCTGGTGTCAACTGCGAGACACGGTCCAGTCGACGGCGCTCGCCGTCCTCGGTCGCGCTCCCCGCCAACACCAGGACTGGTTCGACGACAACGACGCTGCCATCAGAAATCTGCTTGCTGAGAAGAACCGCCTACACAAAGCCTACGTAGATCACCCCACTGAGGACAACAAAGCTGCCTTCTACCGCAGTCGCCGACAGCTCCAGCAACGACTGCGCGAGATGCAGGACGCCTGGACTGCTCGCAAAGCTGAGGAGATCCAAGGCTACGCGGACCGCAACGAATGGAAGAACTTCTTCTCCGCGATCAAAGCTGTCTACGGTCCGCCGACGAAGGGCACTGCTCCTCTCCTCAGCGCCGACGGCAGTACTCTTTTGACTGAGAAGACGCAAATCCTGCAGCGATGGGCCGAGCACTTCCGAGGCGTCCTCAACCGCCCTTCCGTCATCTCCGACGCCGCCATCGCCCGCTTGCCGCAAGTGGCGACCAACGCGGACCTCGACCTCCCGCCATCTCTCCCCGAAACGATCAGGGCCGTGCAGCAGCTCTCTAGCGGGAAAGCACCCGGATCGGACGCCATCCCTGCTGAGGTCTACAAGCACGGAGGTCCCCTACTGATGGATCACCTGACTGCGCTCTTCCAGGAGATGTGGCGTCAAGGTGAAGTCCCGCAAGATTTCAAAGACGCAACTATCGTGCACCTCTATAGGCGAAAAGGGAATCGCCAAGTCTGCGACAACCACCGCGGCATCTCCCTACTGAACATCGCCGGGAAGATCTTCGTTCGCATCCTGCTCAACCGCCTCAACAACCATCTGGAACAGGGCCTTTTGCCGGAAAGCCAATGCGGCTTCCGTCGTCATCGTGGGACCACGGATATGATTTTCGCCGCCCGTCAACTTCAAGAGAAGTGTCAGGAGATGCGGATCCACCTGTACTCTACCTTCGTGGACCTGACGAAAGCCTTCGACACGGTGAATCGTGAAGGACTGTGGAAGCTCATGCAGAAATTCGGCTGTCCGCAGCGATTCACTCAGATGGTGCGTCAGCTGCACGACGGTATGATGGCGCGAGTCACGGACAACGGAGCTGTCTCAGAGGCATTCGCAGTGACCAACGGAGTGAAACAGGGCTGTGTGCTGGCGCCTACCCTCTTCAGTCTCATGTTCTCTGCCATGCTGATGGACGCCTACCGCGACGAACGCCCTGGAATCCGCATCGCCTATAGAACGGACGGTCATCTCCTGAATCACCGGCGCATGAACTTCCAATCGCGTGTATCCACAGCCACCGTGCACGAACTCCTCTTCGCCGACGACTGCGCCCTGAACACCACCTCAGAAGTGGAGATGCAACGGAGCATGGACCTATTCTCCGCCGCCTGCGAGAACTTTGGGCTGGTTATCAACACGCAGATGACGGTGGTGATGCATCAGCCGCCTCCCAGCTCAGCCACAGCCCCCAACGCGCCGCAAATCAACGTGAATGGGACTCAACTGCAAGTGGTAGAGAACTTCCCGTACCTGGGCAGCACGCTCTCCCGCAACACCAAGATCGACGACGAAGTCGCCAACAGGATCTCGAAAGCCAGTCAAGCCTTCGGACGTCTCCAATGCACAGTTTGGAATCGTCATGGTCTCCAACTGAGCACAAAGCTGAAGATGTACAAGGCCGTCATCCTGCCGGCGCTACTGTACGGAGCGGAGACCTGGATGGTGTACACGAGGCAGGCACGTCGACTAAACCACTTCCACCTCAGCTGTCTCTGCCGCATCCTGAGGCTGAACTGGCAGGACCGCATCCCCGACACCGAAGTGCTGGAACGGACGGGAATTCTGAGCATCTACTCCATTTTTAGACAAATGCAGCTACGCTGGAGCGGCCACCTGGTGCGCATGGACGACGAGCGACTACCCAAACGACTCTTCTACGGAGACGTCGCGACGGGTTCTCGTCGTCAAGGAGGCCAAATTCGCCGTTACAAGGATACTCTGAAGTCCTCCCTGAAGCGCCTGCACATCAACCCGACCAACTGGGAAGAGCTCGCCCGCGATCGTCCGACATGGAGGAGAACAGTGAAGACGGGCGCTGCTATCTACGAAGCCAACCGCATCGCCGCCGCCAAAGCGAAACGCGAAGCCCGCAAATCACAACTTCGCCCAATAAGCAACGCCGCCGCACAACCGCTCCCTACGTGTCCTCGATGTCAACGGACATTCCGGGCACGAATCGGACTTGTTGGACATCTTCGAACCAACTGCACCTCTCGAACTGCTCCAGCCATCGTCCCCCAGCCCGCCTCTTCCTCGTCCTCTCTTCCGCCAACTAACTCTGACACTCCTTCCGCACCACCAATTCCATCCTCCTCCTCGCCGTCCTCCTCCCCCTCCATTGCCCCAGCGGCGGCCGTTCAGACTGCTGTCTCACACATCACCAACCCCAACACAACAACCGACATCACCTCTCCCACCTCTCCCGATACCACTGATGAGGATCAGGACTACACCTGCCCTCACTGTGACCGCACCTTCACCTCACACATCGGCCTGGTCGGTCACTTGCGAATACATCGCACAGAGACTGGCGAACCAGTGCCTGGAGCACCAACCTACACCCACCGCACTCGCCTCCACTGCCCACAATGCCCTCGCACCTTCACTCATCGCATGGGTCTATTCGGCCACATGCGCATCCACGAGAGCGGCATTGACCGCAGCCTCGACACACCCACCCCGCCGAGCCCCACTCCCAATCCACCACCTTGTGCACCCACTAACCACTCCCCAGCCGACATCGATGCCACCGATTTTACCACCCCTCACTCCTCCCCTTCCTCCTCCTCTTCCTCCACCACTGCCACAACGACGGCCGCTTCGGCGTCTGTCGCCCACGACTTCACCACAGCCGAACCTGACACAACAACAGGCACAAGCCCTGCAACCTCCATCATCAGACGTGAGGGCCAGCACTACATCTGCCCTCACTGCGATCGCACCTCCACTTCACGCATCGGCCTGGTCGGTCACTTGCGAATCCATCGCACAGAGACTGGCGAACCAGTGCCTGGAGCACCAACCTACACCCACCGCACTCGCCTCCACTGCCCACAATGCCCTCGCACCTTCACTCATCGCATGGGTCTATTCGGCCACATGCACATCCACGAGAGCGGAATTGACCACAATTCCGATACAGCCACGACATCCAACACATCCACCATGCCCAGACCCAACCTCGCTCCACCGTCACACGCGCCGACCACCACCACCACCACTGCTTCCTCTACAGCTGACACCGACAGCGCCGACCTCTAATGCCCACATTGTCCACGCACCTTCACCTCACACATCGGCCTGGTCGGTCACTTGCGAATCCATCGCACAGAGACTGGCGAACCAGTGCCTGGAGCACCAACCTACACCCACCGCACTCGCCTCCACTGCCCACACTGCCCTCGCACCTTCA